CTGTTCAGTTTTTTTGAAAATTTTGTTTGTTTTGTGGATTTTTGGACAGGAAGTTGAAGTAAATCTTATAATTACAGATTATTGTATGCCTGGCATGACTGGTTACGATTTACTCAAGAAAGTTAAGGTATTTTAATTTCTTTCATCGATTCTTGGCTAATTTTCTCAATTTGGGTTTACTGTCTTTTCAATCTTTGTGAAATTCGTTTTTCCAGAAGAAGAAATAAAAAGTTTCTCTCTTTAGTTTTTTTGTTTTTTGTTTTTTAAAAGGAGAATGTCAATGAAGAGAAAATCTCTTTGGAATATTTTTCCCACTTGCTTTTAAATCTTTCTTTCTTTATGACATTGTAATAATATAAGAACAATTTGTTTGTGTAGGAATCAGCAGCATTTAAAAGCATACCTGTAGTAATAATGTCATCTGAAAACGTTCCTGCAAGAATCTCCAGGTAAGATTCTAAAGTTTAATTTTGAGTCTTATTGATTTGTGTGTATTGGCATTAAGTCAACTTTAAACAATGTAGAAATTTCTGGTTTCTTGCAATGGATATGGAATCTTGGTACTGATTTTGATGTCATGAAATGTTGAACAACAGATGTTTGGAAGAAGGAGCTGAAGAGTTTTTCTTGAAACCAGTAAAGTTGGCTGATCTTACCAAATTGAAACCTCATATGATGAAAACCAAATTGAAGAACCAGAAGCTAGAAGAGATTGTGAAACCAGACGGTAATGAAGAGAATGCGGTTTTGATACCGGAGATAAAAGAAGATTCATCAGTAATTGAGATCTTGCCTCTCCACCAAGAACTTGAATCTGAACAACTTGAACAAACATTGAGTAGTAATAAGAGGAAATCGATGGAAGAAGCGATATCTACTGATCGATCACGTCCTAAATACAACGATATAACAACCTCGGTCTGACCCTTTCTTTCTTTCGGTTTTCTGCACAAGTTTTTTCTTCTTTTTAAAACTTTTGTTTCAGAGATTTTTTTTTTATAGGTTCTTTGTAGAAATGCTTCTTCTGGTAAATACAGGGTTGCTATTAGAGAATGAAGAGATGAGATATATGTAAATGATCATGAATCATGATGCTGATGTTTATGGTAATGGTTTTGTTACTTGTTAGTTCATTATGTGAAAATCAGTACATTTTCCAATTTTGTTTATGTTTCTTCATTTTTGGTATCAAAACAATTTCAAGAGTAAATAAAATCTACTGAGTTTTCTTATGTTTCTTTATACTTTGTTTGAGTTCTTGATTTGTCTATGAGATGATGAATCTTGGAGATTTTGACTATATAAGGCTTTTATGAGCTTGAATGGGTATGGCTCAAGTTTCTAGGCCCATTTATGCGTTTCGGCTTATGAGGCCCATCAAGTAGTTAAGTTTCTTTTTACATTCAGTTTAGTTACACAGTAGATTAATAATACATCCACAATGGTAAGGCTCATATCTACAATTGCTATTCCCGGAATATGTTTCATCAATAATCAGATAAAGTAGCTAATATCCACAATGGTAAGGCTAGTATCCACTATTGCTATTCCGGGAATATGTGATTTGAGATTATTATTTTTCCGAAATAAATATCGATGAAAACCCTTTAACAAAAAAAGAAAAGAAATAAATATCGATTTTATTAGAATTTTAGATGAAATAAGTCGGCGAATGTATTATCCCCGGAAACAACGTCAGAGGAAGACATGAATTTTCTTGAAAATTAGCCTAACAAAGCAACAAATACATCACAAGATCGAAAGACCGGACTAATGCAAAATCTTAAACTGAAACCAAAGACCATGGGAAAGACTGAAACCAAGCCAAATATCATGTTTGCTCAAAATCCGAACTCCTAATGATTCTTTGAACGAAACAAACCAAAAAATCCAATGAAACCTATCCAAACCTCGGCATTTTTTGTTTATGGTGAATAAATTATACTTTTTGATACATAAAAGTCTTTAATTTTGTGATAAGATAGAACAATACATTTTCTCAACAATCTTTTAGTAGCAGCAAAATCACTTGAATTCGACATTTTAAAACGTCTCAACCTAGTCTAAAAAAAGATCAGCACTCGAACAATGTTAAAAAAATAGGGACAAAAAGCGAACCTAAATCCAAACTAGATATCACTTTCCATACCTACCAAAACGGAAACAAATAAACTAAAATCAAATTAAATTTTCAAAACAGTATGAGGAACCATACTAAAAATCTTGTATCCAAAATAGCCAATAACCCAGAAGAGGCAAAACTCACACAGAGGAAGTAGCAAGGACGATGGAGATACCATGCTATCCAAACACAAACTGCCATTGCTCAAATCCGCCGAGGAAAAAAAATGTGTTAAAGCATTTTTTAGGTGTTTTACAATACAAATGACAAATAAATAGAAGGCATTACATCATAATTGGTTTATGGAATTTTTACATTTTTAGTAAATATGTTAAATGCTTTATGATTTTATAGGTAAGACTAAAATAATATTTAAAAAGTTAAGTTATTACAATATTGTAATTCTATTAAATATAATTACATATTTATTAAAAAAGAAATTTCTTACATCTATATTCATGTAAGGCACAATTTTGTAAGTATCATCATGGACACCCAATATATTCTTAAAATTGTTATAACTAAACAGTTTTTATTATACATATTTTGTGTTTATTCGTACAAAACCAATTTTTCAATTTAACAGGTAGATTCATGTAAAAATCTATTTTGGCCTTTGATCTTTTACACCCATTATC